ATGAAGAATAATAGAAGACTGATAGGAGTCCATGAAAAAGCAGGAGAAAGTACAAATTACATTAAAAGAAACGGTCCACAGAATTAATGACAGAAAAATTCGCAAACAGGGTAAAATAATTTGACATACAGATAAGTGAGGAATATAGGACTTTAGCTAGCCATGATAAAAAAATAGACACATAGACATATAATAATCAAGATCCCAGAAAGCCAAAAGAAGAACAAAATACTACAAGTAGTTAGAGAAGAGAAGCAAATCACATTCAAAGGAAGCCCATTAGGATCACAGAAGACTTTTCAACACAAACCCTCACATCTAGAAGAGCATGGAGTGAGGTAATTCAAGCCCTAAAAGAAAACAACCTACAACCTAGACTGATGTACCATGAAAGACTATCTTTCAAAATTGATGGGGAAATAAGATACTTCCATGACAAAGAATACCTGAGAAGCGATACCAAACCAGCACTCCAAACAATTCTAATATCCTAGGAAAAGACAATGAGGATAATAACTCCATGAGGCCCAACAGAATAAATCCATCAGGCAAGGCAAGAAATTAAAGGGAGATGGAGACAATTAAAAAGAGCCAACAATGGGATAATAACACAATAATGATAAGTCAATACATATAAGTTATTGTGGGAGCCCGCTGGCATTTGACATTGGAAAAGTAACTTCTACCATTGAGGCATTGACACAATCTATGACTCTATTTGGCTTTTCTGAGATGAGGGTCTCAGCTATGCAGATGAGATTGACCTGGAGCTCTCTGTGTAATCCAGGCTAAGCTCTCTGTGTAATCCAGGCTAAACTCACTGTGTAATCCAGGCTGGGTTTATGGGATTACGGGTGTCGACCTGAAGCTCACTGTAATCCAGACTAGTTTTATGGGATTATGGGCGTGCACCACCACGCCCGGCAAACAATACCACTGGACTGGTCAGGTTGAGTGGGGCCTTCACCTTTACATCAGCGGCCGTGATCCGGGTCTCACCTTTTCCATCAGGCCTTTTGAAAGAACCACCTCAGTTCAAACCCATTGCCATTGGCCCCAACCCCCTTTCTTTAAGAATGTTGCTTTTTTAAAGATAAACTGGGCCTGGTGGATGATAGCATTAGAAAGGTTGAGGAAAGCCTCGAACAAAGGCAGAAGCAACGGGAAAAGGACGAATCTTGGTATCAAAATTGGTTTTCCCCTTGCCCCGCTTGCCCCTGGAGATTGTTAAGTTAAAGATTGCATAGGGTTAATTGTTGATGTACGCCTTCCCACTTACCCCTCCCCACATTTGGTAAAATACTGATTGCTGTATGCTGATAAATGCTTTGTCCCTTTATGGTTAAATGCTTGAGTGACTCATGTGATTGGTAGAAGATTTGTTTGAACTGTCCAATAAGCTTGCTGAACCTTCCCCCTGGGATAACAGTATATAATCGTTTTGCTGAGCCAATAAAGAGCCTTTGATCAGAAATCAGACTTGGGCCATGTGCTCTAACTTCTTAAAGATTTCCTTCACAGACATTCAAGATCGGATCGGCCTCTGATGACCCACAAATAAGAGGCGGCTCTCACCTCCTATTCCCCGCTGGACGGGGTCCCCCCAGAGAGCCGCAAGTTATGACAATGTCAATGGCATCAATTCTTCAATCAAAAGAAATAGACTAGGGCTGGGGATTTAGCTCAATTATTCCACTGCCTACCTCTCAAGAGCAAGGACCCAAATTCAATCCCAGTACAAAAAGAAAGAGAGAGAGAGAGAGGGGGAGAGGATTAAGAAGGAAAATCCAATAATATGCTGTATAAAAGAAACTCACCTAGCCCAAACAGAAACTCATAGACTGAAAGTAAAAGGATGAAAAACAGTTCTCCATGTGACAGGAACCCCCCAAAAAGCAGGATTAGCTATTTTATTTGCAGACAAAGTAAATTTCAAACCAAAACTAATTAAGAGAGACAAAGGAGGTCACTACATCCTTGTAAAGAGAGCAATCCAAGAGGAAGAGATGACAATCATAAATATATATGCACCAAATACACCTGCCCCCAACTATACAAAAAATATTAAGGGACATGAAAAACCAAATAAGCACTAATACAATTGGAGTGGGGGACCAAAATATGCCACTGTCACAAATAGAAAGGTAATCTAGACAAAAAATCAACAACAAAATACTAGAACTGAACCAAGCTATTCAACAAATGGATTTAACAGACGTGTGCAGAGTTTTCCACCCCCAAAATCAAAATATAAATTCTTTTCAGCTGCGTATAGGTCATTCTCCAAAATAGACCACATACTAGCTCATAGAACAAGTTTAAGTAAGTGTAAAGTAATGAAATTAACCCTTGTATATTATCAGACCACAGTGCAATGAAATTGGAGATCAAAAGTAAAAGAAACTGCAAGTACTTCAGAAACACGTGGAAATTGAACAACACACTTCTGAATAACCAGTGGATCACAGAGGAAATTAAAGAAGAAATCAGGTAATTCCTACAATTAAATGACAATGACAATGTGGTGAATACTTACAAGATCATATTGATAATAAATACCCTTCAAACTTGGCAAGGAGATGAAAGATTCAATTTTATCTAATTTTCTCTTGTTTTCAACATATATTTTACATAACTTAGAATAGGATGGATTATGGAACATACAATTTATCACATACATTATAAAATATTCAGGCAGTGTTTTTAAGGTCAATGCTGCAATTAAAAAGCAGACAGCTATATTGATGACTGAACTGAATATTTTTGAGCAAGATAGACTGATGAGAGAGGAAAGTGAGAGAAAGATGGAGCTATACTAGCATTTTCTAGAGTATCAATTTTTCATCTTGCCCTTGTAAATACTATAGTGTAGGCTTAGAGGCAGAATATAGTGAATTGAACATTACTTGAAAACAGAATTCAGAGACCATAATTTCCTACCTATGATTTGTTGGCCAATTTACACAATCCTAATGCACATACGTTTTTGATACAAATAAATCTTGTTTACAGGTAATAGAATTAATCATGACATTTTCAAAGTTGCATACATCACTGATAGTTCAAAATGGCAGTTATTTTGCTGGGCATGGTGAAACACACATGTAATCCTAGCACTAGGGAGGCTGAGGTTGGAGGGTAACCATAAGTTCCAGGCCGGCCTGGGCTACATAGGGAGTTCACATCCAGCCTGAACTACATAGCAAGATTGTCTCAAAAAACAAAAGCAAAACAAAATCCAAAAACACAATGGCAGTCATTTTAAAATTATAATAATAGGAATAGTTTGGAAGAATGTTTTACTGATACTTTAAATTCCATTTTAAAAGTGTTAAATAATAATGAGTTTGAAATTGCCTAGGTCATTTTTCAAATTTTTAAATGATCAAGTCTTTATCCTTTTTGTTCATTAGTTGATGTAGTTGCTTATCGATACTTCAAGACCCATTTTTAACAATGAAAATAATAACCTCTTGTGTTTGTAACTTAATGTGAGGTCCGGTTTAAGTTTTTCCTTAACAATGAATGAAATCTTTTCCCTTCTTGATTGTTTTTGTACTGGGGATCAAACTTGGGACCCAGCACTTGCAAGATAGGTGGTAGAACCACTGAGCTAAATACCCTGCCTACATTCTTGGCTGTTTGCATGTAGATGTATTTTAAAATTTCATATAATAATAAGATTGGGAGAGCATTATCAATGGAGACTTGTTTTCCCTTTTTATTGAAAAGGATAAAATAACTTGGATTTCTAATGTGTTTAAGATTGATTATATTCTTTATTTGCTTCTTTAATCACAGTTCTAATATACAGAGTTTGCCAAAAAATATACATATACACACTTCAGGAAAAGAAAACTAGTATGATGTTTTTTCATCAGATGATGTTGTCTTCAGATGGGTGATTCTGGAAGATGTTGTATATCAAAGAAAACTCACTATGTTGCCAGCCCTTAGAGAAGAAATTGAAAATGCATTTGCAGCAATCTCAATGACTGAGGTTACTCAAGTAGCAGTTTGCTGTACTAGTAATGTCCAGAAGTTGATGGCCACCCCTTTGAGCACCTTTTGTAATTGTAGAGGTCAAAGGTAACTTGTAATAATCTCAGGATGCCTCAATAAATTTTTAGTATTAAAATATTTATACTAGTGTTTCTTTCCCTGAAGTGTGTATTTTTTTTTTGCGAACTCTGTATATTACTCTTTGTGGTTTCTCATCTTTTTTCTATTTCTGGTGATTAGATGCCCTTCAATCTTTAAAATCTTTTAAACAACTTTCAGTTGATTTAAATAGTTCTACTTAATCAGTACTTAAAATTTGGAGCTTCATGTTAGTGTTATGCATCCATTCTGATCTTGTAGCCCACAAAAAACAATGTTATTTCTTACCATTAAATGTTATTTTTAATTAAAAAATATCAATCTAGAGATGTTCCTCTCTTATGAATATGAAAAGACAATACATCTCTGCATATTTTGAAGATGGCTTCATTTTCTTTGTTTCTTCAATTCTGATTAAATTATACTCCTATTGATATCTCCATTCCAATTATTTAAACTGCTCTGGAATGCTTCATTTGGCTTAATATGTTTTAAATATACCTCTGCTTTTGTAGGTTTTTATTTTTGTTATGTTGATTCTTAGATTTTTGATATGAATTTTGATAATTTATTTTAGGAGAATTAATTAGAGGTATTACCATATAATTTAAATCATATATAATTATACACAATGTAAAATATTATTAGTTTCACTTCTTAAAGCAACAAAGAACAAGATTGATTCAGAAATAAAGAAAGCCTTAATTTCCTGGAATTACATTTTTTTCTTTCAAAAAGAAACAATGTTTGGTTTGATACAACAGAAAGCTTGATTAAATTGAAAACAGAATGAAATATTAAATGTCATTAAGATTAATCTGACAGACTCGTAGAAAGGAGACAATGACACAAATTAAAAGCTGTAGTGAAATAAGTGTGCAACATTTTTCTTTTGTTCATCAAAATTTCTGTTTCTTTGAGAGAAACTCGATCCTTTTTATAAAGTCATTCAAACTTTGTTTCACTTGCTTGTTCCTCAAGGTGTAAATGAAGGGATTTAATAAGGGTGCAACAGAAGCATTGAGAACTGAAACTCTTTTATTTATGGCCACCTCTTCCTTTGCTGATGGCTTGATGTAGATGAAGATGCAGCTGCCATAGGCAATAGAAACCACAATCATGTGAGAGGAGCACGTGGAAATGGCTTTTTTCCTTTCCTGTGCAGAGGGGAATCTCAGAATTGTCCTGATGATGCATGTGTAGGACAGAATCACACAGATAAGGGTCATAATAAGTATAAATATGGCCACAATTACAACCATCTGTTCTAGTAACCATGTGTCTGAGCATGAGATCTTTAGGAGCGGACTTGCATCACAGCCAAAATGATCAATGGCATTGGAATCACAGAATTCAAGCTGGAGGCCCAAGCTAAGAGGTGGAACTACACTCATCAAAGCACATCCCCAACAGGAGAGAACTAGTAAGGCACACACTCTGTGGTTCATGATGGTCATGTAGTGAAGAGGTTTACAGATGGCCACATAGCGATCATAGGACATGGCTGCCAGGAGAAAAAACTCTGTTGCTCCGAAGAGTACAATAAAGAATACTTGGCATACACAAGCATCATAGGTGATCGTATTGTCCCCAGTTGATAAACTGTACAGGTACCTAGGAATACAGACAGTGGTGAATGAAACTTCTAATATGGAAAAATTTCTGAGAAAAAAGTACATAGGTGTTTTAAGATGGGGATCCACCAGTGTGAGGATAATAATAGTCAGATTCCCAGTTACACTCAACATATAGGTGAGAAATAAAAAGATAAAAAGCAGAACTTGTAGTTGTGGATCATCTGTCAGTCCCAGCAAGGTGAAAATTTTTATTGTGCTGTGGTTTCTCATCTTTGATCATTAATTTACTGAATATTCCTGTAAAAATCAAGATTTTTATGAAGAAGTTGATAGCCAAATTAAATAAAAAAGTTTTGCAAACAGAAATCAAGCAAACTAGCTTGCATTCATTTTCTCCCCTGAAATCATAATCATTATTGCTACTGTTCCAGTCATGATCCTGAATTTTGCATGCATAAGCAGTGGGGAGTTCTTTAAGCTTCATATAATTGTAAAATAATCCAAGTTTGAAAAAAAATCATTTGTTATCCTTCAGAAATTACACATTTTTTACTATGTAATTCAGTATGTGGCTCTTGCCCCTTCAAAAGCTAAACTTCAGATTAAATCACATGTATTAGTCCTTCAGGATTTCTTTATCTGTCAGTTCTTCAAAGAAATCCTCACTGAAGAACTCTGAGCATGTGAAATTATGCTCGTGTGTTTCCCCTAAATATCTGTTGCTTATTTTGTCTTGGAATACATCAATTGTGTTGTTCTATGCTTTGTAATTATATTTCTTCTGTATGTTTTTCTGGACTTTTCTATATAATTGGATATATATATATATATATATATATACTGTTTTCATATGTGGTTCAAACTGCAACATAAGCATAAAAACTTAAAAAAAACAAGCTTCAATATTACCAATTCTAAACTTTACAAATCTTCAATTTCAGCATTTTTCTTTAGCCTGAACTATTTCTTGCCTTATGCTTAAAATTTGAATTCCTTAATTGTTGTTATTTTTGTTGTTTCTGATAACATCTTTCTGGACCTTTTCTTGTTTGGGTTCTTAATATTTTTCCCCTTTTATGACAATTTTCTTCCCACATACTATTTTCTTTTCTTTAATTGAATTTATTGGTACATTTTAGGTATACAGTACAGTTACATTCATTATTGGGATCTTGTACCTTTACATGACAAGTCTTGGTTCTCATTTTTTCCCCTTGTTGCTGCCCTCCCTTCACTGCTATTTTCTACAGGCTTTGATTATTTCATATTCTGTTTTCCTAAGCTGAAATTAACTACTGTGTGTCTCAAGATTTATTCTTCTTTGAAGAGACTTTGAGTCCTTTAATTTTATTAAAATCATCAGTGATTAATACAGACAATATAACTGGGTACACTTAAAAAATCCTAATAGTCTGATGATCATTAGATCAATAGGCTCACTAGAAAATAAAGTATAAAAACGGAGGATTGTTTAGTCCTTCTTTATATCTTATAGTATATAGCTCATGCTCAAAAGTATTTAAATGAACTATATAATATACCTGTTATGTAATTTTAACTTAGCTCCCATTTCACTGTTTTAAAAGTTAGAAAATGGAATATTAGCCATAAAGAATGAGAAATTAGATTCATTCACAAGAAAATGGATACATATTGAGGATATACTCCTAAGTGAAATAAATAAGTCACACATGTAAATACTGAATAGTTTCTCTGGTTTGAACAAACTATAATAGTACATAAGATCCTAATGAGATTACTGACATTATAAAATAGGAAGAAAAGGGCTAAAGGTGTAGGGAAAGTGGGAAGGGTAGGGGAAAGGTAATAAGGGAAAAGAAAGAAAATGAGAAAATAAATAATGGAAATAAAGTATTTGTAAATAGGGAAGGGAGGAGGGGGTTATGGGAGGGCTGGGACAAGGGGAAAAAATGAGAACCAAGACCTGTTGTATAAAGGAACAAGATCCCACTGATGAATGTAACTGCACTATGTCCCTAAAATGTATCAATAAACTCAATGAGAAAAAAAAAGAAATCTGTACAACAGAAAATATGAACTTTGAAGACCCTGACCCTCTTCTTCCTCCGAAGAGGGACTACTCTCTTCAGCAGCCTGCCAAGCTAATTAGCTTATTCAGGGAAAGAAAACCAGCTATTTGTTTTCAAAATTTCCCATGTTCCATATAGCCTCAGTAGTCCTTTTATGCAAGTCCTACAGTTTAGCTGTTAGATAAAATCAGTGCATTAATGTTTTTTTTCCCACATGAATAAAATGGTGTGCTAATTTTACCTTGATTGATTTTTGGTTTACACAGAACAAGTTCTCTCCAAACTGTTTCAGGGGCATAGAAAGTGAAATGAGTTACAAAGTAATTAAGAATTAATATCCTTTCTGTCATTTCATTTGGCATACTTCCCTTTCTGAATATACACCAGCTAGAAAACATCTTGGTGAAAGTCTTTTCAGTCTTAATAGTTTTAGCAGCTTACTATGAACACAACAAAGAATCCCCTCAGTGGCCAGTAATTTCTTTCACTTAGATAGCAAGGGGTCAATTTCACTGAAACTGATAAGACTGAGTTATTTCTACTTAATTTTTCATCATAAATGAATAACTACAATTTATAAAACTTTGACATGTTAAGGAATTTTATTGCTTTTTGGGAATGTATTCTGAGTGTGTAAGATATATTTTTGTACATGACATTGAAATTACACATCATAAGCAACTACAAATTTTTATACCTGGTTAAATAAATATGCCCTACATATGATATAAGTCTAGTAAAAAAGCTGCTGAATACTTTACAAACATAGTCACTATAATTTTCTGTATTAAAATGTGATAGCTGGGGATTCAGCTTCGTGGTTCCACTGTTTGCCCTCTAAGCACAAGGACCTGAGTTTGATCCCTGGTACTAAAAAGAAAAAAAAAGTGATAAAAGCTTAACAAGATTGCAGGTGAATACACCCACAAATATGTCTTTCCCTTATCTCTTAAAAGAGAAAGTAATTCTCATATCTTCTTTTCAGTACTTACTCCTTTGTTAATTTTTCTTGGATTTCCTCGGCAGCTCCTTAGCAGGTTGAAGTGTGTTGTGTTAAGGATGATATTACTTGTACCAGACTAATACCATCAGATTAGTTTACTCTGCTAATCTGTTTTGAATTTTAGTTTCCCATGGTATCTTATATTTGTATCTTTAGAAACTCCAATTATAAGTCTCAGAAACATTTTGTTTGACCCCTGTCATGATGAAAAGAGAATGTGATGTAAGAGACAAAGGAAAATAATTTTCTGTGGGTTAAGAAGAGTTGCTATCTTTGTCTTTCCAAGCAGGGTGTTTATATTTCTTTTCCAAAAATAATGTTATGTCTTCTGCCTTATCTGCTGGAGGTGTCTTGGGATTACCTGAATGAGTAAAGTATCCTTAGTGACAAGGTTTGTACCTTACTAATCAACTTTCTGCATAATTAGGTTTGGCAAAGCAGCTAAAATAGGAAACAGGAAAGATTATTTTCTTTGAGACAGTAAAATTGAAAACTGGCATCAGAGTCCAATTGCCCAACCCAAAGGAAAAAAAAACCAGTCTTATTTAATTCCCTCCTTAATTTTGATGAATATGATATGTCTGTTTTTCTTTGAATATTTTAACTGAATGTCCCATTATGTAATATTTGGTAAAATATATATTATATATGAAAATTCATATTAAAATACTACTATGCATACTGGGATATTACAAACTCATTTGGTATTTGTTTATCACAGGAAATTTATACATATTTGAAAAACAGGAGAATATGCTTAAGTGAGACATCTTATTCATTATGTCTGCAGATAATTGCTTTGTTATTATACAGCTGCCTTTCAAAAATAGTTCACATGATTAAAAAACAGTGTGTCTTTGGATTCTTGCTTTGGAATGCTTTCCTTTTAAATTTTAAAATAAGCATTATAAAAATGTTGTCTCAACCTGGCTGAACATTTAGAAATATATAAAATTGGGGTTTGGAAGTTTGGATAGAAGTATTATAGGGCAGTAAGGGAGGGAAATGAAAATTACAGGTCCCATATAAATTTTGTCACTGATATTTCATTGTTTCCTGAATTGTATGTTATGTTTACTTCATTAGAGTTATTGTAAAATATTGAAATAGTTTGATTATGTTTTTAAGTATATATGAATACATGACATTTAAAAATCAATTATATATGGCATTTAAAAAATTGTACTTAAAATTATTTTAATTGACACCTGTGGTGCACAGTGAGGTAACGTGAAACATTATATATATATATTTTTTTGTTTGTTTGTTTAGCATGTATATATTTATATGTGTATTTAGGTGACACATCATGAATTTCAGTCCATGTATACGAAATGTGTTGCTAAAATCATGGTAAGTAATGTTTCATTTCCTTATCATTACTTTGTATTTGGAGCCTTCATGCTCCTCTTTTCTCACTATTCACAGAATATATAAGTTATTGTGAGCTATAGCCCTCCACTTATCTGTAGAAGAGTGGAAATAATTTGCATCTAACTGTGATTAGGTAACCAGTTTTAAACTACATCTTAACCCTGCCTTTGTAGCTTCTAGTAATTACTATTATATAATTTGATCAATTTAATTTTTTGACATCCATTTATGAGAGAGAGCATATGATAATTGTCTTTCTGTGTCTGACTGATTTTGTTTAATGCAATATTCTCTCATTCTAGCCTGTTTGTGGCACATGAAATCACTCTTTTTACAGTTGAATATTGCTCCATTTTGTGTGTGTGTATATATACGCACACACATATCACATTTATTTATCTATCCATCCCTTGATAGAATATGTTACTAGGATGATTTATATCTTAGCTATTTTGAATAGTACCTCTATGAGCATGGAGGTACAGGTTTCTCTTACGTCTTTGATATTCTCATTTACTGTCTTTTAGACATCTACCCAGAAATGGGATAGCTGGGTTAAATGATGGATCTATTTTCAGCTTCCAATGAAATCTCCATACTATTCTTTATAGAATGATTACTCATTTACATTTTCAACAATAGTATATGAGTTTCTTTATATATTGTGAGAGTTTCCACATCCTCACTAACATTTATAATTTTTGTCTTTTTCATGATAGCCATTCATATTTGGATGATATTACTTAGGTCCTATCCATCCATCCTTTTGCTTTCCCTTATACCACTGCTTCTACTTCCCTTTATTCTATTACTCTTCTCTAATAAAGTCTTTCTTCAACTTTTCATGTTATTTTTCTTAGATTATACACACTAAAGAAAACCTTCAGTACCTATCTTTCTGAGTCTGACTTTTGAATTTAACATAAAGACCTTCAGTTTCTTCCATTTTTTTCCTCATTGAGTTTATTGGTACATTTTAGCAATACAGTATAGTTATATTCAATATTGGAATCTTGTACCTTTACATGACAGGTCTTAGTTCTCATTTTTTCTCTTTGTCCCTGCTCTCCCTTCACCCCTCCTCCCTCTCCCTTTACAAACACTCCATTTCCATTTCTTCATTAACTCATATTTTTCTTTTCCCTTATTACGTTTCCCCTACCCTTCCCACTTTCCCTACACCTTTATCCTCATTCTTTCTGTTTCACATTGTCCATTATATCATTAGGATCTTATGTACTATTATAGTTTATTCACACCAGAGAAAATATTTAGTATTTAAACATGTGTTGCTTATTTATTTCACTTAGTAGTATATTCTCAATATGTATCCATTTTCCTATGAATGCATCTAATTTCTCATTCTTTATGGCTGAGTAATATTCCATATTATAGAAAAACCACATCTTCTTTATCTAGTTTCCAACTGATGAGTAAATGGGCTGTTTCCAAGTTTTAGCTATTACAACCTGTGCCACTATAAACATAGGTGCACTTATATCACTGTGATATGATTCTTTTAATTCTTTTGGAAAGATACCCAGCAGAGGGATGGCTGGGTCAAATAGAACCTCTAGTCCCAATTCTTTGATGTATCCCATATTAATTTCCAGACTTCTGCCTAAGTCTTGGTGTAAAAAGAAAACCCTCTCCCCTGTCTCCTGCCACTGGGCTTCTGAGTCTGCGGTCTTTGCCTTTTTGCATGATTAATGTTGGTCTGAACCTAAGGAATCAATAAACATTTTCTGAAACAGAAAAAAAGAAGAGTTCTGCCTTATCTTCCAGAAAGTTTAGTGTTTCTGGTTTAATATTTAGATCTTTCATCCACTCAGATTTTAATTTAGTGCATGGTGAAAGATAAGGGTCCAGTTTTAATCATTGGCAGGTTGAGATCCAGTTTTTCCAACACTATTTATTAAAGAGGCTATCTTTCCTCCACTGAGGATGGTCAGCTCCTTTGTCAAAGATGAGGTAGCTGAGTACATCTGGATTTGTTTTTATGTCTTCCAATCTGTTCCATTGATCCTCAGGTCTGTTTCTTTGCCAGTACCAAGCTGTTTTTATCACAGTGGCTTTGTAGTATAGTTTCAAATTGGTAATTGTTATACGTGCTACCATGCATCTGTTGCCTAGGATGGCTTTAGCTATTCTAGGTCTCTTATGGTTCCAAAATAATTTTTGGATTCTTTTTTCTAGTTCTGTGAGATATAGTGTTGGAATTTCAATTGGCATTGCATTGAATCTGTATAGCAGTTTTGGTAGAATGGCCATTTAATTTCTTCCATTTTTTTTTTTTTTTAGTTTCTTCCATTTTTAAACAAATGACATAACTTTCTTCTTTATGCCTAAATAACACTTTATTGTATATTCATATCACATTTTCTTTACATATTCATGTGTATAGGGGAACCAAAGCTGGTTCCATATCATGAGTATGGTGACTTGTGCCATAATTAACATAAGTATACTTGTATTCCAATAGTATGCTGACTTTAATTCCTTGTGGGTATATATTAAGTACTTGTATAGCTGGGTCATATACTTGTTCTATTTTTAGTTTTTGAGAAATGTCCATACCGATTTACTTAGTGGGTGTAGTAATTTATGTTCTTATCCATAAGCATAGAAGGGTTTTTCCTTTATATCCATAGCTATATCTTTGTCAATATTTATATTGATTTTGTGAATTTAAGTTTAGCCTTATAACCATTCTTTGATTTACTATGAATTGACTAATAATTTTTAAAGTTAATGCTATAAAATCATAAAAAGTTAGTAGGAACTGTACTCCACATCTTGGATTTTGATCTTTTCCTGGGTCAGTGTTATGTGGTAGATGCTCTTGGAATGCTGAAAAAGAGTAGTATGAGCTCTCAATCAGCGATGATATTATGGGGTACTTGTATATAGCACTCCTTATTGTACTGTATTGCTAGGCTGTAATGTTCAGTAGGGTAGGAGTAATAAATGTATTTTGACATGCAATATTTTCAAGGACATTTAAAATTTTTAAATAATAGTAATTCTGCTTGGTAATCATAATTTATTTTCTTAAAGAGGATCTGTGCCATTCTTAATTTTCCTCATTGTTTTCTTGTGCATTCTGATGATATAGAGATGCTTTATAGGATTTTCAAAGGGAAAGATTGTGAAAAAATATATTAAAAATTCATTGCTGAGGGCTGGGGATTCAGCTCAGCAGTTCGGTGGCCTACCTTGCAAGTGCAAGGACCCGAGTTCAATACCCAGTACCCTTCCCACTCCCCCAAAAAATCATTGCTGAGACTTCCGGGAAGATGGCAGCATGGTGTGCAGTGACAAGTCAGCCTCTCTGAGATTTGGAATCCAAATAATTGGAAGATAGCAATTTGGAGAACAGAGAAAGGTAGGAGGTAGATCCGCAGGACCCAGGAATGACCTGAAGAAAAGATTGGATATTTCTGAGAATGTGAGGCTAGAGACTGCATCTACCCCCCACCTGCTCCTGGTTTATGGCATAAGACTGGAGTATGGGACCTACAAAGATAGAGTGAAAGTGTGTGAATCCAGATTCATCTAGTTGAAGGCAAGGCAGTGCAGAGGAACAGTGAATACTGTGAATGACTTGTCTGAGCTGTGTTCCTTGGAGAGATGACTTTTGAGGGGAGGAAAATTGAACCCAGGAGTCAGAGTCGCCATGGGTTGACTTTGTCTCAGGGCTCCCAGTGTTAGGGTTCCACAGTGGATGGGTTGGGGATGCCATGGGAATGTCCAGCCTCATAGAACCATAGGTGGCTGGTGAGGAACACATAGAGTGCTGCTGGCTGAGGACTTGGGACCCACCTTCATAGCAGGAGCCCAAGGTCAGCCTAAACTTCTGTGGAGTGGAGAGAGCCAGAGGTTGTGTCCCAGCTCAACCATATAGAATAACTGGGGTTACCTAGCATGGATCTGGGTTCTGACTTGGTCACTACCACAAAAGTGTAGACAACAGCAGATAACCATAGGCTTGAGTCACAGAGAAATTTCTTTCTTTTTAGTTTTTTACTTGTCTGTTTTTTTCCCCATGAATGCAAATATTAAGTTTTTCTTGTTTTGTTCTTATTTTTGTTTTTTCCTTCTTTCTTTTCTTCATGTTTTCTTCCTCAGCTTCCCAAAGCTTGAGTAATCTTCTGCCCTTCAGCATTATTTTGAATTTCTTTTTCTCCTTTTATTTCTTTAGTTTTTCCTCATTTCCCTTGAAATTCTCTCCATTGAGAGTAAAATTGCTCTATTAAGTGGATTTTTACTGTATATAATTTTCTGATTGGCTTTAGATTTTGTTAAATAACTATAATGCTTATAACTATGGTTAAAAGTGTAAAATTAATAGTTTATTCCAGTTTGCCATTTTCTGATCTGTGCTTGATGCTATTGTTATTACTGGTCATACTACTTTACCCAAAGTGACATATCTGTGATCAGTAGTTCTTCCTTATATATGAATATAGAGATTATCTCAGGGTCATAAAAAAATACCATAATCCAACACCAAAAAGCTGGGTGTTAGGTCAAACAGATACCAAACTTTACTCCATAACAAGTTGAGGCAGGGTCTTGGAACAGGCTCAAAAGCCAAAAGCTAGATACATGTAGAAGATATCTATGAAAAGTAATCATTTACTGGAGAAGTTTGGTACTAGTAACAAAGTTAGATACCACAAGTAATTTACAAGCACCAATGCAGAAAATAAATAAAAATAACGAAAAACAGAAAGTGAGAAAACACAGAAGCTGGATGCAATCCCAGACCTCCAGCTCATCCAAGGCAAATCCAAGGGGCACTGAGGTGGAACAAATCAAAAGCTATCCAGCTGGTTTTTCTGAAATGGTAGCAGCAGAAGTATCAGATTAGATGAATGAGGCTTTAGAAAAATCCAAATCAGAAATATTTGCAGTTTACTAAAGACATAATGACCATAGTGATGGACACGGTTAGTGAATTTAGAGTAGATACAAATAAAATAGAAGAGCTTAGGAAAATGAAGGAAATCCTGAATGCCCAACATAAAAACAACTGGATTTCATAAAACAGATGCAATAGATATCCAGGAGAGTAAAATTTCTATTGAAAGCATAATAAATCAATGTGAATATAGAATATCAGATCTAGAAGTCAGATTTGTGATTAGCAATCACCAAATAAAAGACTTTTTAAAACTAACAAGGGTCAATGGAAAATGAATCCAATAGCTACTAGATGATGCAGAGAATAGCATAAGATTAATTGGAATAAAGGTAAAATCAGAAGAGAACAATGTCATAAAAATACCTATTTGCAAAAGTAATAGCAGAAAACTCCTGAGGATGGAAAAAAAATTGAGACAGTGAAATGAGGCATATAGAACCTCAATTATCCATGATCAGAAAAACAACTATCTCAAGGTAGGTAATAGTCAGTATCCCAGAAATTCAACACCAGAACATTAAAAGCTATTTGAGAAAAGAAACAAATCACCTGCAAAGGAAAACCCATCCGAATTGCAGCAGATTTCTAAATACATCAATGCCTCAAGTCAAGGAGAGCATGGAGTGAAGTATTTCAAGGCCTAAAAGAAAACAACCTCCAACCCAGACTAATGTATTCTGCAAAATTTCTTTGAAAATTGGTGATGAAGTAATAAGATACTTCCAAGATAAAGAACCTTTGAAGAATTTAACCACCAAACCAATATTCCACAAAGTTCTGAAGGATATTCTAGAAAGGAGACATGAAGAGAACAATTCCAATAATCCCAATAGAATGAATCCAGCAGGCAAGGTAAGAAATTAAACGAAAGGAAAACAAGGGAACTAGCAACAGGAAATTAATATGACAAGGATAAGTCAATACATGTCAGTTATAACCATCAATGCAAATGGTCTCAATTCACCAATGAAAAGAAACAGATTGGCAGACTGGATCAAGAAGCATAAGCATAATTCAACAATATGCTGTGTACAAAAAACACACTTAACTCAAAAAGAACTTCACAGACTTCAGAGAAAGTCAAAGGACAGAAAAAATACTCCATGCAACAGGAACCCAGTAAAAAGCAGGGGTAGCTATAGTATTTACAAATAAAGTAATTTTTAAGCTAAGACCAATCAAGAGAGACAAAGAATCTCACTACATACTTGTTAAGGGAACATTCAATGGAAGAGGAAGAGATAACAATCATAAATATATATGCACCAAATACTGATGCACCAAGTACATAAAACAACCACTAATGGATATGAAAAAATCAGATTAACACCAATAAATTGTAATGGGTGACAGCATTATGCCACTGTTACCAATAGACAAATTAGACAAAAAAAAATCAACAAAGAAATATCAGAACTGAACCAAACCTTTGAACAAATGGACTTAGTAGATATCTACAGAGTGTTCCATATCAAAATAACAGAAGACACATTCTTCTCAGCACCACACAGGACTTTCTCCAAAATAGGCCACACACTAGGTCATAGAATATGCTTAAGTAAGTGCAAAAGGATTGAAATTATACCACTCAGATATCAGATTATAGTGCAATGAAATTAGAAATCAATGGCAAAAGAAATTGTAAAAACTACATAAACACACAGATATTAAATAGCACCCTCCTGAACAACCAATGGGTCACAGATAAAATTAAAGAAGAGTTTAGACAGTTTTTACACTTTAATTATAATGCCAATATGACATTCTGGAACCTATGGGATGCAATGAAAGCAGTCTTATGAATGGAATTTATAGCAGTTAATTCCCACATCAGACAAACAGATTTAGCTCAAATAATCAAACTAGAGAAAGAAGAGCAAACTGAAAGCCCATATGAGGGAGGAAATTAAAAAAATCAGTGCAGAAATTATGCAACTGAGACTAAGAAAACAATACAAAGAATCATTGAATGCAAGAGTTGGTTTTTTGATAGATGAAGTAAGATTGATAAAACCTTAGACAATCTTATAAAAAAAAGAAAGAAAAGACTTAACTCCATGCAACTAAAAATGAAAAAGGAGAGAACACAATGAATCCCGCAGGAATACAGAAGACTGTCAATGTCAAGCCAGAGAAGAATTAAAGCCTAATTGGCCTCCTCTGTGAGCACAGAGGAAAAAGGCTACACTCAAGAGTGATTGCATATTAGGGAAAAGTTAAGATAGCTGAGGTTAAGTCGTTTACCAGAGTACGCACTAATGGATATTGGCAACAAGATGAATCTTGTGTCACTTTGATTGCTTGTGCTCATATTTGGGTGAATAAAAGTAAGTTGAGTCAAATTCTCAGGGCTCTTCTGCCTGCTAAAGGTATGATCCCCCTGGCTGCGCACATGATAAGCTCATGTCTCTTTGTCAGTCATCCTTGTTCAGCCCCAGATCAGGGAGGAACTAAGTAGTGAGTCTAAATTATGGAGCAAGGCTGGGTGGGAGAGCTGGCAAGAGGTGGCACCCCAGCGTGGGTCCTGGGACCCAGATTGCTACAGTTGGCACTTGATCAGGGCCTTGAGAATGAGGTCAGCTACACATCAATACCTATTTTGAGAACATGTACTCTAATAAGATGGAAAACTCAGAACAAACGGACAGATTCCTAGATACATCTGAATTGCCAAAGCTGATCACAAGATCTAAAAATTCTAAATTGCCAATATTATTCAATGAAATTGAGGATATAATTAAAACCAATAAAGAAAACCCTAGGTCCCTGAGTGATTCATGGCTGAATTTTTTGTTTTTTGTTTTGGTTTTTGGTTTTTTGAGACAGGGTCTCACTATGTAGTTGAGACTGACCTGGAACTCACTATGTAGCCCAGGGTGGTCTTGAACTCACAGCGATCCTCCTGCCTCAGCCTCCCTAGTGCTGGAACTACAGGTGTGCACCATCATGCCCGGTTTATTCACTGCTGAATTTAACACAAAATTCATAGATTTAATGCCACCATGCCTCAGACTCTTTAATGAAATCTAAAGGGAAGTAATACTCCCAAACTCATTCCTGGAAGCAATTATTACCCTCATACCCAAACCAGAGAGAGATCCAACCGAAAAAGAGAACTACAGGATAATCTTTTTAATGAATATTGATGCAAAAATCCTCAATAAGATGCTGGCAAACAGAATTCAGCACATCATCAAGTTTATACACCATAACTAAGTAGGAATCAGCCCAGGGATGAAGGGAGGGTTCAACATATGAAAAGCAATAAATGTAATATGCCATATAAAGAGTGCCAAAGACTAAAATCACATGATCATCTAAAAAGACACAGAAACAACTCCAACCCAATTCACCTACCTTATCTTTGACAAAGGGGCCAAACACCTTCTCTGGAAGAATGCTAGCCTCTTTAATAAGAGGCACTGTAAAAACTGGCTTTCCACATGGTGAAGGTTAAACCTGGAACCATATCTCTTACCATGCACTAGACTAAAATTGAAATAGATAAAAGATCCAAATATTCCAACAAAAACAATCTACTGAAAGATAAAATAGGTAAAACTATTAAATGAAATTATTGTTTTCCTTTGTATCTCTTGGATATTGAAAATTCAGAGGATAATAAAAAAGTTACAAACTAGATATTTTCACTCACATCTTTTTTCTTGTTCTTCCTTATTAATTGTGAAAACACTGTTACCTTATTTCCATTACATTTGATTTTACTTTTTTCTTATCCCTTGTTTATGTAATATGATGCTGTAAAACTCTAAAGTATATAAAGTAACAATATTGTTGAAAAATCAAAATTCTGTCAAATATATACTCAGAAAAGTATCATAAACCCATTCTATTTCTAGTAATTTCATGTATTATAGTATAAAAAAATCACACTTTCATTCATATAGTTATATACTAAGTCAAAGATGTCATTTAACTTTATATACTAGATATCAAGAGTCAAATTATTATTTTCTAAGTTAAATATCTTCTGTCTATGACATATTAATCATTTACTTATCCATTTTGTAACAGCAATACTGGCGAAACCATTGTGTCTTATGCTACTCTAGTTTAGATTAGATCTTCTTTGCAAATTGGTCCTTGCAAGTTAAACTTTACCTCTTCGCCTTGTGTCATGAATTCTTTTTTTAAAATAAATTTTATTGGTACATTTTAGGTATGCAATGTAATGACCTTCATTATTGGAGATTTGTACCTTTACATAATATGTGTCATAAATTCTAAAGAAAGCCACCTTTGACTAACCAAAAAACTAACTGCTGGATTCAACTATTGCAGGAAATGAAATTAGAAAAATGCTGGTCACAACAACCATTAATCAGAATCTTCCTTTATTTTTAGAACTCAACATCTGATGGTCTTAAAATAACATAATAATGTGGACCAAGGAACTGATAATCTTGTTCTTTAATTAAAAGTGGGATAATATTTTATTTGGAATGAAAACATTAGTTTACCTAAAGAATTATTGGACTTGCCTAGAAAAACAAAGTTAATTTTTGTATCAGGCTGTTCTGTCAGAAGAGAAGAGATCCGGCCCAGGATGATGGAGAGTGGCACAGCACACAGTCTTTGTGCCTGTGTCCCCCGTACCTCTTGTCCTTCCCTTAAAATCCCCTTCCCACATTTCTATCCTCTAAGATGGCCTTTTTGTTGGGGAAATAAGCTATGTATATTCTCATGGCTAGATCTTGAATAAACTGAGTTAAAGTTAGATGTTAATCTTGAAATCACCAAATAAAATGTTCAAATATTCCTTTTAAAATCATAAGATGATGTAGAAGTTATATTTTTATAATATTGAACACATTTGTGTTTTTAAAATTGAAAAAAAATAATATTATATTAAATACTCAGGTGCTACTACTCTTGTGACAGAGCTGTATAATTTGCATATGAATATGTCTCCCAAAGGAATTATTCCTCATGAAGAATTTACTTGATATTCCCTCAAAAGGAATTACCTTGATGTTTTAGCAATTTATATT